CCTGGTTGTCATCAAGACCCCTGGTTGTCAAGACCCCTGACTATCTTCAAGCACGCACTGGACAGACACAAAGTCAGTACCTGACCAGCCAGGCTGAGGTTCCTACGTTGGTTTACGTGCAGCCAACAGTAACAGCCTGGTTGATCAGACCTTCATCCACCACGAGGCCTGGTCATGGACCGGGCAACGGGGGCGTTGACCCCCCAAAAACCCCACCAGGCAAATATACCCAATTTAAAGACCACTGACTGCAAGAGGACGATTAAAATCCTCCATTCATGTTTATGTTTCACTTAACGAGTCTCAGCGTAATAATAGTCGTAATAGTAAAAGTAATAATAGTAGTAATAATAGTAGTAATAGTAGTAATAATAGTAATAATAGTAGTAATAATAGTAGTAATAATAGTAGTAATAGTAGTAATAATAGTAATAATAGTAGTAATAATAGTAGTAATAATAGTAGTAATAATAGTAGCAGTAATAATACTAGTAAAACTAACAGTAATAATATATAAAAGGAACCTTACGGCAACGTTTCGCTCACACTGGAACTATTAACTCGTCGATAATTGACATGTTCAACATTTAGGTATGTTTATTGTGGAAACGTTTCCCCCTCACAGAGCCAAACTTAGGCGAAACGTCGTCCGAAGTTTCGCACTGTGTAAGGAATATCTGTGAATTAATGTTAGCAAGATGTATATATTTTACCGTTACTTTCGATACTGTTAGATCAACAGAGATTAACAGGTGTTACTAGACTTAAATATACGGTAGCAACGGTGTAGCAAACAACGTCGTAGCAAACACTGTAGCAAACAACGTCGTAGCAAACACTGTAGCAAACAACGTCGTAGCAAACACTGTAGCAAACAACGTCGTAGCAAACACTGTAGCAAACAACGTCGTAGCAAACACTGTAGCAAACAACGTCGTAGCAAACACTGTAGCAAACAACGTCGTAGCAAACTGTAGCAAACAACGTAGCAAATACTGTAGCAAACAACGTCGCAGCAAACACTGTAGCAAACAACGTCGTAGCAAACACTGTAGCAAACAACGTCGTAGCAAACTGTAGCAAACACTGTAGCAAACAACGTCGTAGGAAACACTGTAGCAAACAACGTCGTAGCAAACTGTAGCAAACAACGTCGTAGCAAACACTAGCAAACGTCGTAGCAAACACTGTAGCAAACGTAGCAAACACTGTAGCAAACAACGTCGTAGCAAACACTGTAGCAAACAACGTCGTAGCAAACACTGTAGCAAACGTCGTAGCAAACACTGTAGCAAACGTCGTAGCAAACACTGTAGCAAACAACGTCGTAGCAAACACTGTAGCAAACAACGTAGCACTGTAGCAAACACTAGTAAACAACGTATCACTGTAGCAAACGTCTTAGCAAACACTGTAGCAAACAACGTCGTAGCAAACACTAGCAAAACGTCGTAGCAAACACTGTAGCAAACAACGTCTTAGCAAACGTCGTAGCAAACACTGTAGCAAACAACGTCTTAGCAAACAACGTCGTAGCAAACACTAGCAAACGTCTTAGCAAACACTGTAGCAAACAACGTCGTAGCAAACACTGTAGCAAACAACGTAGCACTGTAGCAAACAACGTAGCACTGTAGCAAACAACGTAGCACTGTAGCAAACAACGTAGCACTGTAGCAAACAACGTAGCACTGTAGCAAACAACGTAGCACTGTAGCAAACAACGTAGCACTAGTAAACAACGTAACACTGTAGCAAACAACGTAGCGCTGTAGAAAACGTAGCACTGTAGCAAACAACGTAGCACTGTAGCAAACAACGTAGCACTGTAGCAAACAACGTAGCGCTGTACAAACAATGTAGCACTGTAGCAAACAACGTAGCACTGTAGTAAACGTAGCACTGTAGCAAACAACGTAGCACTGTAGTAAACAACGTAGCACTGTAGCAAACAACGTAGCACTGTAGTAAACACCGTAACACTGTAGCAAACAACGTAGCACTGTAGCAAACGTAGCACTGTAGCAAACAACGTAGCACTGTAGCAAACAACGTAGCACTGTAGCAAACAACGTAGCGCTGTAGAAACAACGTAGCACTGTAGCAAACAACGTAGCGCTGTAGAAACAACGTAGCACTGTAGAAACAACGTAGCGCTGTAGCAAACAACGTAGCACTGTAGAAACAACGTAGCGCTGTAGCAAACAACGTAGCGCTGTAGAAACAACGTAGCACTGTAGCAAACAACGCAGCGCTGTAGAAACAACGTAGCACTGTAGAAACAACGTAGCGCTGTAGCAAACAACGTAGCACTGTAGAAACAACGTAGCACTGTAGCAAACAATGTAGCACTGTAGCAAACAACGTAGCACTGTAGCAAACAACGTAGCGCTGTAGAAACAACGTAGCACTGTAGCAAACAACGTAGCACTGTAGTAAACACCGTAGCACTGTAGCAAACAACGTAGCACTGTAGCAAACAACGTAGCGTTGTAGAAACAACGTAGCACTGTAGCAAACAACGTAGCACTGTAGCAAACAACGTAGCGCTGTAGCAAACAACGTAGCGCTGTAGAAACAACGTAGCACTGTAGCAAACAACGTAGCACTGTAGAAACAACGTAGCACTGTAGAAACAACGTAGCACTGTAGCAAACAACGTAGCGCTGTAGAAACAACGTAGCACTGTAGCAAACAACGTAGCACTAGTAAACAACGTAGCACTGTAGTAAACAACGTAGCACTGTAGCAAACGTCAAAGCAAACATCAAATTTCGTAACGTAATAGCAAACAATGTCATAGTAAACGTCGCAAACAATGTCATAGCTAACAATGTAGTAACGTGTACAGTAAACGCCATAGCAAACAACGTGTATAGTAAACAACGTAGTAAACGTCTATAAACGTCATAGCAAACAAGATAAGATTTCGTTCGGATTTTTAACCCTGGAGGGTTAGCCACCCAGGATAACTCAAGAAAGTCAGTACGTGATCCACGACTGTCTGACTTACTTCCATTGTGGTCCTTAATCTTGTCCCCCAGGATGCCACCCACACCAGTCCACTAACACCCAGGATGTGACCCACACCAGTCCACTAATACCCAGGATGCCACCCACACCAGTCGACTAACACCCAAGATGTGACCCACACCAGTCCACTAACACCCAGGATGCCACCCACACCAGTCCACTAACACCCAGGATGCCACCCACACCAGTCCACTAACACCCAGGATGCCACCCACACCAGTCCACTAACACCCAGGATGCCACCCACACCAGTCGACTAACACCCGGGTACCTATTTGCTGCTAGGTGAACAGGACAATAGGTGTAAGGAAACGTGTCGGAATTTCCACCCGCCGGGAACCGAACCCGGGCCCTCCGTGTGTGAAGCGGGAGCTTTAGCCACCAGGCCACCGGGCCACGTGTATAGTAAACGTAGCAGCAAACAACGTGTATAGTAAACGTAGCAGCAAACAACGTGTATAGTAAACGTAGCAGCAAACAACGTGTATAGTAAACGTAGCAGCAAACAACGTGTATAGTAAACGTCACAGCAAACAACGTGTATAGTAAACGTAGCAGCAAACAACGTATAGTAAACGTAGCAAACAACGTGTATAGTAAACGCAGCAAACAACGTGTATAGTAAACGCAGCAAACAACGTGTATAGTAAACGCAGCAAACAACGTGTATAGTAAACGCAGCAGCAAACAACGTGTATAGTAAACGCAGCAGCAAACAACGTGTATAGTAAACGCAGCAGCAAACAACGTGTATAGTAAACGCAGCAAACAACGTGTATAGTAAACGCAGCAGCAAACAACGTGTATAGTAAACGCAGCAAACAACGTATAGTAAACGTAGCAAACAACGTGTATAGTAAACGTAGCAGCAAACAACGTGTATAGTAAATGTAGCAGCAAACAACGTGTATAGTAAACGTCACAGCAAACAACGTGTATAGTAAACGCAGCAGCAAACAACGTGTATAGTAAACGCAGCAGCAAACAACGTGTATAGTAAACGCAGCAGCAAACAACGTGTATAGTAAACGCAGCAGCAAACAACGTGTATAGTAAACGCAGCAGCAAACAACGTATAGTAAACGTAGCAAACAACGTGTACAGTAAAAGCAGCAAACAACGTGTAAACGCAGCAGCAAACAACGTCACAGTTACCAACGCCAGTTGTCCCACCTAACATTTTTATCCCACTGGGATAAAATAATCACAAAAAACCTGCAATAAAACAACAAAAATAAGACAACCCAAAAAATTGCGTCAATTTCCTACCTTAACTGTCATGGCCGCCGCTCCCCCGGCGACCATCAACCTTATTTCACTTAATATCTCACTCGCCACACTTTATATCTGACACTTGATGATGTCAACTTGTCCGCCACGCACTTGACCACCACTACACATCACTCAAACACT